CAGTATTGATTTTTTCCCCCCACTATTGTTTTTTGAGACAGGGTCTCGCTATGTCTCTCAGGCTGGCCTTGAACTCCTGCTCAAACTCCTGGTGATCCTCCTGCCTCAGCCTCTGGAGTATTGGTATTAAAGTCTGCGCCACCATGCACAGATCCTGAGGAAGGTGAGCATGGCCTTGTGAAGCACTCGTTCAGGACTCCGTCACCCTCTGCAGGCTGGGAGGCTTGAGAGAAGCTGGGCAGCAAGGTTCTCGGCTTTGTGCACCCAAGTATCTCTGTGTGGGTCTCAGTACCCAGCCCTTTCCCTGTGGAGGTCCTGGTGCTGGGATAGGCGGCCTGCTGAGCTCCAACACTTTCACAATCAGGTGCTGAGCCTGATTTTCAGCACATCCAGCCCTCAGCTGTGCCACTGGGAGAAACGCGGATCTCTTGGAATGCTACTCTGGAATTCCTCCTGGAATGCTGTTCTAGAATTCCTGTCTCCCTGATCTTCTCTTTCTTCAAGGCTTCTGTCCTCATAGGGCAGGGCAAATCCCCAGTGCAGAAGGAGAGGAAGGCAGAAGTCACCAACCTGCCGGGAACCATCTCCCAAAGCCCCTGGGGGTCCAGACAGGGCCCAGGAAGTGGTTGAGGCGTCAGCTGCCCAGGGCCCAGCCCTGCAGAAGTGGGGGCTTCCAGAAGTAGCTGGTCTTTGCCGGTCTTGGTCACTGGTCTATCTTAGCATCTGGACCGTGCCTGGGGCAGGGTGGATGATTAACAAATATCTGTCCAGTGAATGAAGGACTCACTGTGGCTTGAATTTCCTCCCTGAGCTAAGCCCTTGTCTCCCAAACCCCACCCCAGTCCCCAACCCCGCCCACCCCATCGCAGCCCCCAGACCCCTTCTGAGGATTAAGGGGTGGGTGCTGGAGGTTTCTACCTCAGTCCCCTATCAGCTACTTGGACCATCAACCGCCTGACACTGTTCCAAATGCCCCTGTAGTTTGCGTCATTTAATCTTCACAACAAACCTGCCAGGAGGGCACTTTGTCACTGCTGCTTCTCAGGTGAAGAAACCGAGGCAGGAGCCAGAGTCACTTTGGAAAGCAGAAGTGGCCAGGGGACGTCGCAGAGAATAGCCTGGGGGCAGGGAGCCCCCCCCCCCGTGCCCCCAGGGTCTCTGATGTAACCCAGGTTTTCTCAATCTTCCGGGAGCACCCCACAAATGCAGCCACACAGCAAGCTTGCAGCCCAGGTCTCCTGCAGCCCTGCTGCCATCCCAAGCCCCTGCCGGAGATCTGGAAGCTGGAGCCAGAGACCTGAGGGTCTCCTACCTGGGCCCCAGTTCTTGCCGTTATACCCCAGATCACAGTAGCTTGCTTCGGCATTTAACAGACTGTGAATCCAAGCATCAGCCTCCATGCCAAGCTATATTCCTGGCCCTTTATTTTTTTATTTCGAGAAAGGATTTTGCTGAGTTGCCCAGGCTGAGCTCAAACTGTGACCCTCCTGCCTCAGCCTCCCAGAGTTTTGGGATCTCCCAGCGTTTGCCACCACACCTGGCTATAAAATTTCATTTCTGAGTTTAGTGTATTTAAGTCCAGCCACCCCATATTTTAAAAATTAGCCCCACTGTTTCCTAAAGCCCCGGCTCTAACTTGCTTCATCACACTTGGTGTGGATGGCAGATCTGGGCAGGTTTCTCCCTGGGGGCTGGTGCCAGGTGCAGGTGAGAGCAGGCTGAGCTTGTTTATTTGCCCCAGTCGGCACAAACTCTGCGGGCTCTGCCATGTAAACATCTCGAGTCTACCTGCCTCTCCTGTCCACCTCCTGCTACCCACCTAGTCCAGCATCACCTCTGATCTGGGCCTTGCTGCCCCGTGCTTCTGCCTTTGACTTGTGAGGTCCTTTTCCAGGATGAAGGCAGCCAGCGGGATCCTTCTAAAATCTAAATCAAGCCGGGTGTGGCGGCGCAGGCCCGTGTTCCCAGCACTCTGGAGGCTGAGGTAGGAGGATCTCCGAGAGTTCGAGGCCAGCCTGGACTACATAGCGAGACCTTGTCTCAATATAAATAGATATATAAAATCTAAGGGCCAGGGATTTAGCTCAGTGGCACCATACCTGCCTCAAAAGCACAAGGTCCTGGGTTCGATCTCCAGTACAAAAAAACATATATACATATATATATAATCTAAGTTGGGAGAGTTGAGCGCCCCTTTCCACCCCATGCGCAACCCCATTGCGCTGTTCCCTACACGGACCACCACCCATCCTTGAATAAAGTCTGCCTTCCTGTTGCTAAGAAAACAGCTTATAAATCATTTAGAGAGCTGAATAAAAGGTGGATGATAGGAAACAGGAGGAGAGCTCTTTTGCAGATGAGAAAGGGACCTAGAGGTGGAGGCGAGGAGAGGAGAAGGGGAAGTAAGAAGAATGAAGAGGTGTTTTGTGCACACACCAACTTCCCACGAGGAATAGAATCATCATTGTGTACTGAAAACAGGGATTCATACAAATGTTTTTAAATAAAAAAATTAAAAACCCGAGTCGGACCATGTCACATTGCAAATCGCTCCCATCTCACAGTGACACCCAGGTCCTTACCTGACTCCGTGTCCGCCACATGGGGCTCCTTGCACTGTCCCAGGTCCACAGCACACACCTGCCACAGGGCCTTTGCACACACTGTTTCCTCCCTGCACACCTTTCCAGCTCTGCTGCCTCCCAGGTTATAGCCCATCACCACCTCCTCACAGGCTTCCCCTGACTGCCCCCATTATCCTCTTCCTTTTGTTAGAGACAGGGTCTTGCTGTGTAGTTCAGGCTGGCTGTGAACTCACGACGTAGCCCAGGGTGGTCTCAAACTCAGTGATCCTCCTGCCTCAGCCTCCTGAGTGCTGGGATTACAGGTGTGCACCACCACACTGGCCAGTTCTCTTCGCAGCACTTGTCACTATTGGACATTGCTTCACAGTCTTTCCCTTCGCTCTTGTAGTCTCAGAGGTGAGCACAGTGGATAGCACACAGTAGTTAGTGCTCAGTAAATGTTTGTTGAATAAATAAATAAATGCCTTACTTTAATTCAATAATTCTCTTCACATGGATTTCTTCTTTTAAAAAAGAGGAACAAGGGAATGATTTGTTATAAGAATATCTATTATTATTTCAGGCATGGTGGTGTGCACCTGTAATCTCAACTACTTGGGAGGCTGAGGCAGGAGGATGGCTGCAAGTTTGAAGCCAGCCTGCTTTGCCACTAAGGCTAGGCGAGCCTGAGCCCCCTCCCGCTCCAGCACCCCAGTTCCCAGCCTGCACAAAGGGGGTGGATGCACAGGGCAGGATTGTGCAGGGAGGGCTGGGGTCCACTGACAGGAAGTGGCCCAGATGAGCACAGCTGATTAGCTGGCAGGGAGCGGAAGGGCGATTGGGCAAGAAGAGAGCAGAGGGAGGAGAGGACGCTAACTGTCCCAGACACGTGGCTCGGGACTGCTGTCGCCTCGCCAGGGCCAGGAGCTTGGGACTGCACCCAGGAGCGGCTGCCAGGTGGGATCCACCCTGGGGGTGCCGGGCTTGGTCTGGTGGGGGTCAGGAGGGCACAGGACAGAGGCTGAGGCGGGGTGTCTGTCCCCAATGACAGTGTGTGCTCAGGCGAGTGCACTGGCTTCTTAGAGCCTCAGTTTCCCGCGAGTGGGGGCGGAGCAGGAGATTCAACACTGTGCTCGGCAGTGTCTTGGGACCCCGGCTTGGACGAAGTGACTGTCGCTATTTGACACTTGTCCTGCTGCTCCGGGAAGATGGAGGAGGCGGGAGGCCCGGGCACCTGCAGAGGCTGTGCTGTGGCCGCCCTGTCCTGCCTCTGCCTCCTCAGTGTCTGCCTGGGTCTCTGAGTGCTGAGGTTGCCCGTGGACTTCGTGTGACCTCTTAGGTGGGGGACGTGGGGCGGCAAGGCCGTGGGGCTGAGGGGCACAAGGGTCACCCAGGATTTGTGGCGGGGAGAGGGGAGCCCCGCTGGCCGGCTCGGAGCATGAAGGTCTGAGCGACTGCACAGGGGACCTCAGCACACGCAGGGAGGCCACGGGGTGTCGAGCGTGGCTGAGGGCGCTGACCCGGGCAGAGGGGTGCGCGTGTGCGTGTGTGGATGTGTGCACAAGCGCGTGTGGAGCGGCCGGGGGGTGGGGGCCGTGTCTCTCGCCGTGGCTGGCTGCGAAGCGGGCAGCGAGTGTGCTCGGGGTGCTGTGTGGCTCGGGGCGTGTGCACCCTCGCTGGCGGGACGTCCCTGAGGCAGCGCTGGCTGCGGGGACCTGCGGGCTCCCTGTCCCCAGTGCCGGCCAAGTGAGGTAGAGGGCCACGGGCCAGGGGCGGCCAGGGGCGCGGCTGCCCTGTGAAATGGGCTGCGGAGGGCGGCAGGGCGGGAGTCTCCTGTTCTGGGTGTGGCCGCCAGGCGTTATTTCTGGACGCTAATGTTCGCTCACGGACCAGCACGGCGTCCGCACCAGGTCCTCAGCCCTGAGCTTGGGCCGCAGGCCTCACGCTGAGAATCTCATCTCTGCCTCTGCCCAGGTGCGTGACACATCCTGGGCCCAGGGCGCCCGCTGGTCCCCTCAGAGGAGCGCTGCCCGCCTGCCTGTGTGACATCCTTCCAAGCGGAGCACGCTCGGTCTGCGGGGCCACCGCTCCGGTCCACAAACATCGAGGCTAAGCCGGTCACTGCCTCCCGGGCCTCCCCATCTGCCCAGCGGGGGACCTCGCCTGTGTGGCCCTCAGCGATGGCCTCGCTGATGCCCGTGTTTCCCCCGCTGTCGCTGTGGGACCAGCAGCACTGAAAGGGCTCGGCACGGATTCTGTAGTCAACAAATATTTGCCGAGTACCTGCTGTGTTTCCAGCCAGGAAACTGAGGCATGGGGAGGGCATGGGCTGAGCGGCAGAGGCTCGAGGGGCCGACGTCTGGCTGCCCTCTGGGTGCTGTGACCAGGGCAGCCCCTCTCCGGCCGCGGTGGGGACTGACCGGCTCCGGGGCGCGGATGGACGCGGCGGGGAGGGCGCGGGCCTGGTCACTGCCTCCCCGGGCCGCGCAGGGTGGGCAGCGGGACGCGCCAGGCGAGGCGCCGAGAGCGCAGCCGCCTCGGGTCCACCTGATCTCATTCCTAGCCCCGCAGCCTCCTCCTTAGTAAGGAAACATCGAACCTGCAGAAGAGTTGAGCACATGGCACCGTGAATGCCACCGTGCCGGTCCCTGCGTTTTGTCCCCTTTCCACACCCTGTCCCTCCACGCACTGCATCCCCACCCACATTTTCCTTTGTTTCTGCTTGTTTGGAATCATTTGAAGGCGAACTGCAGACATCGTAACTTCATCCCTAGCTCTTTCTTTCTTTTTTTTTTTTAACGCTACTGGGGATTGAGCCCAGGGCCTTTGCACTGAATGAGATACATCCCCATTTTAAATTTTTTTTATCTTGGGAGTCTCCCTAGGTTGTCCAGGCTGGCTCAACCTTCCCACCTCAGCCTCCCAGAGTGCTGAAATTACAGGTGTTTACTACCATACCCGGCTTCAGATGCCTTTTATGTGTTTTTCTTTTTCTTTTCTTTTCTTTTTTTTGGTACTGGGGATCGAACTTGGGACCTTGCGCTTGAGAGGCAGGTGGCAGAACCATTGAGCTAAATCCCCGGCCTTAGATGCCTTTTAAAGCCGAGGAAATTCTCTAACATAACCTTCATCACACCTAAGAAATTTCACACTGCTCAACAGTACCTGAACACAATCCATGTTCACATTTCCGTGCTTGTCCCCTAAATGTCCCTATTCCTACTTTTTCTGAAAGGGTCCTGAACCTGGCAAGGCAGAGCAGGTGTCCTGACTCAGAGGGGCTGGCTGTGTCCCACAGCCCAGGTTACTTCTCTGTCCCCAGGTCTGGGCGCCGTGGGAAGTGGACAGAGAATGCACCGGAAGGGCCGGAAGCTGGGCTCCAGCCGCCGGCGGCAGATGAGAGAGCCAGCCGATGGCCAGGATGTCCAGAGGGACCCAGGGCCCGAGTCCTGGTCCTCGGAAGCTGAAGCAGAGCTGCAGACCTTCTTCCAAAACTGCGGCGCCAAGGACAGAGGCTTTGTCACCCGAGAGGACCTGGCAGTGAGTTCAAGGCCCCTGCTCCCCCTCTGCAACTCCTGACCCTGGCCCCTTTTCTCATCTAAAATTTGCTTTCAGAACCTGCTAGGAATTTGCTCAGACTAATATGGAAATGGCTGCTAGAGCCTCACATGTATCCTCTTCTAGGAACACTTGCCTTCATAAAGGAGAGTTCTTTTTTTTTTTTTTTTTTGTACCAGGGATCGAACTCGGGTCCTTCCACTTGCGCAGCAGGCGGTGAAACCACTGAGCTAAATCCTGGGCAAGGAGAGTTCTTTAACTCAGAAATGGGGCAACTTTTGGCCCTGGGGCAGGGAAGCCTATCTTGGGAAGAAGTCAGAACCCTGCAAATCAAACCAAGTCAATGACTATAAGCTTCAAGGAGCATAAGTCAGCCTTAGCCAGGTGTGGTACCCCACGCCATGATCCCTGCACTCTGGGAGGCTGAGGCAGGAGAACTGCACATTCAAGCCCAGCCCAGGTACCTTAGAGATGACTTCGTGTAGCCTGTCTTGAAATAATAAGGCTGGGGGTGTAGCTCAGTGCAAAGGCTCTGGCCTTCATCTCCAGGGCTGGAAAAAAAAAAATCAATAGGGCTGGGGATTTAGCTCGGTGGTTCCGGCACCTGCCTCACAAGTGTAAGGTCCCGAGTTTGATCCCCGGTACCAAAAAAAATATATATATATCAACAGCTACTACTGTGTCTTTTGAGGAGTCCCACAAGGAAATGGCCTAGACTACAATTGACCAATTTTTCTTTGTTTTCTCTTCGTCTGGGGCAAAGAGCCCTGTGTGGGTGAGCAGCTGTCTCCTGATGTTGCTCCAGGCTCCACGCGGTGTCCTTTTCCCATCCTAACTGACCCTGTAGCCCCATAAGGCTACAACCAAGTGTGAAGAGCTGATGTAAAAATGTCTTTTTTGGGTTTTTGAGACAGGGTCTCCAGGTTGATAGTGAGCTCATTATGTAGCCCAGGTTGGTCTCAAACTTCCAGGGATCCTCCTGCCTCAGCCTCCCAAGTTTTGGGATTACAGGCCTGCACCACCACACCTGGCTTAGGTTGGACTTCTAAAACCACTATCATTTTCTTGCAAAACTGTCTCAGTTTTCCAAGGTCCAAAGGGGACCTGGATTATGAGACTGAGTGTTAAAATGGGAACCGTCCTGAGCAAACTGGGACAAGTCATTACCCTGCCTCGGTCATCAGGCTAGAGAACAAAGCCCAAGACACTCTCTCCAGCAAATGTCACCTATACATTTGAGTCAGTTCCTCTTCTCGAGGTCCCTAATCTTTCTGCCAGGAAGTGGCTTGCCTGTCACACGCTTCCAGACCAGCTTCCTGAGAGGGCTTAGCAGCACTGGCTCTCAAGGTGCCCCTGATAGTGGGCTCACCACAGCCGATTAAGTGGCAATCAGTCTATAAAATGGCGTTCGGTTCCCAGCACTCAGGATGCTGAGGCAGGAGGATCACTGCCTATTCAAGACCAGCCTGGGCTACATAGTGAGTTCAAAGTTAGCCTGACGTGCATAGCGAGAGCCGGAATCAAATCCCTCCACACACAAATGTTTCATTTTAGTTCAGTCTAATTACTAAACTGAGGGTTAGAAACACCTCAAGAAGACAAATCACTTCCTTATAGGTCTATTGAAGTAGAACAAGAAAAAATAGTATCACCATATTCATTCAGCTCAGGGAATGGATCTTGGTTCCCCTGTCTGCCTTTGGACCCCAGACCCCTGAGTCCTCAGGGCACTAGGTGGACTGAAGGTCACCAGTGTGGTTCAGAACCTATACCTGGGGAAGAACCCGGAGTTCCTAGAACCTGGGACAGTCCCTTTCTCGGGCCTTTGACTCCGTCTCTTTGTTGAGGACACAAGCTGCGACCTGCAGATTCCAGCAGGGCCCTCGGGCGGTCAGAGGAGAGCAGAAACCTGCCTGGTGAGAAGCCGGAGAGGCTGTGGTTATTTATACTCATTTTTCTTGGATACTGGGGATAGGACACAGCGCAGGCTAGGAAAGTGCCGGCCCCTAAGCACGCCTCAGCCCTACACTGTGGTTATTTATTACAGCAATTGTTAGTGTTGGAATAGAAGAGAGTAGAATTCCCTACTGGCATGGGTTGTGTAGCTACTTCATAATGGTTTGGGCAGAAAACAAGAAATGTGGGCAGCAAAAGCTTTGAGAAATCTCCAGTGTAGAGCAGCAGGCAATTCCAGAAATATTTATCTTCACAAAATTGTTAGACTTAGCCTGGGAAAGACCACACATCTCTTCTGATTTGACCGTTCTCGCCATGATGCTCTTAGGATAGCAATGAAGTACTTAGTAAACAAAGACAAGCTGGGGGCCAGGGATGTAGCTCAGTGGTTTCACCGCCTGCTGCTCAAGCGCAAGGACCTGAGTTCGATCCCCTGTACCAAAAAAAAAGAATAAATAAAGAGAAAGAAATCTTTAAAATTTACTATTATTATTATTTTTTTTACATTTAGGATCTGATTTGGGAAGGCAACATCTAAAGAAGTGACAGAGAACACTGGGGCTCTAGTTTAAGGCAGAAACCAGGCAGCATGAGAAATAGTAGTTGGTCACCTACTTAATCCAAAGACAATGACACAAAAGACTTTGAAATAAAATAGGGAAGGTCATACAATTGCAAGAGAATTCAGCTCTTTCTAAGAGGGGTACTTTTCTTTTCGTTTTTTTTTTAAAAAAGAAATTAGGATACGATGTGGACAAACAAAGCCAAAGAAATTCTTGTGATCAGAGAAGGAACTTCTGTCAGCAGGAACTTTCACAAAGCCCAGTTGTCAACCCGTGAGCATGGCTGAGATTCTAAAACGAAGTTGTCTATCATCTATCTATCATCTGCTTATCTAGATATTATCTATCTAGATATCTATCATCTGCTTATCTAGATATCATCTATCTATCTTTTTTTTTCTTTTTTTTCCGGTACCGGGGATCAAACTCGGGTCCTTGCGCTTGCACAGCAGGCGACGAAACCACTGAGCTAAATCCCCGGCCCGATTTTTATTGTTTTTTTCATTTGTTTGCATTAATTTTATTTTTTTAATATATTTTGGTACCGGGGATCGAACTTGGGACCTTGCACTTGTGAGGCAGGTGGCGGAACCACTGAGCTAAATCCCTGGCCCCTATTTTGTTTTTTTTGAGACAGGATCTCACTATGTAGCCCAGGCTGGCCTTGAACTCATGGCAGTCCTCCTGCCTCCGCCTCTGAAATGCTGGGATTACAGGTGTGCACCTGTGTCCGGCAGTCCTCCATGTTCTGGAATAACCAGACACTTTAAAACAAAACCACCGGCCTGACCCCTTAGAAATGAAAACCTATTTTTCTTGCAGACACAGTTGTGTTTCTGTCACTGTTGCTCTTAGTGGAGTCTCAGACATGGAAGTTAAAAGTAATTATAACTTTAACATCCTTAACCTTTATCACAGAAAGAACACAGGTTAAGTAATTGTGGATTATTTTTCCTCTGTGTGTGTGGTACTGGGGATTGAACCCGGGGAACCCTGAGCCCATCCCAGCCCTTTTTAGTTTCTTTATTTTTTCTTTGAGACAGGGTATCTCTTAGTCAGGCTGGCTAGTTTCAAACTCTCAACCCTCCTGCCTCGGCCTACTGAGTAGCTGGGATTCCCACCATGCAGCACCACGCCTGACAAGAATTATTTTATGCAAGCATTTGCTGACTAGCAAAGTCACAAATACACATAACACAACTTTCTACAGCCACACATATAATTGCACAATTTTCTAAATTGTGGCAAAACATACATAACCAGATTTACTGTGCTAGCCATTTGTAAGGGTATCATCATTCAGTGGCATTCGGCACATTCGCAGTGTTGTACAATCATCTCCATCCTCCAGCTCCAGAACTTCTCTCCTTTTCCAAACTCAAACTCTGGGGAGAAACTCACATTTCCCCAGCTCCCAGGAGCTTCACTGTACTTTCTGTCTGCCTGAATTTGACCGCTCTAGGAATTGCATAGAAGCCTCATCCAAACAGCTCATTTCACTTAGCATTTTGTCCTTAAGCCTCCTGTGTGTCTCAGAACTGCTGACAGTTGTCCCTGGCATGTAGGTGCCACAGTCACTTACAAGGCCATCCATGGTGTGACCTTTGGGTGCCTTCCAGTTCTTGGCAAACAACTTTTTCTAAGGGACAATATATTCATCAACATGACCCAAAGGTACAACTACTAGCATGTAAAAATAAGGAGCTTATCCAGGTAAGGTGGTACACACCCATAATCTCAGCTATTGGGGAGGCTGAGGAAGGAGGATTACCATCAAGTTTAAGGTCAGCCTGGGCTGCATAGTGAGTTCGAGATCATCGTGAACTACACAGTGAGACTCTGTCTCAAAAAATTAAATGAGGGCTGGGGATTTAGCTCAGTGGCACCTCGCCTGGCTCGAAAGCACAAGGTCCTGAGTTCTATCCCCAGTACCACAAAAGACCAAAATGAAACAAAAAAATTATCCAAGTAGCCCCAAATTATTTATTAATTAACATAATAACTTACAAGTAATTCAGGCTTTTACAGTAGCCAGAAGATCTTGGAAATTGTGTTTTTAAGGGATTCACTATAAAATATAATTACTGTTTGCATAAAACATATTTGTTAAAATAATTAACCAATTTGGTTGAACACAAACTTACATTTTTATAACTTTAAACTTATTTGATCAGATAACCTTAATGAGAAGTGAAGAAAATTCAGATGAACTAGTTTCCTCATAAAAAATAAACCCAGGGGCCAGGGATGTGATAGAAAGTATGCTCTTATTATAACTAACATAAAGCAGAGAAAACACAGCTGTTATTTGTGCTCAGTGAACCAAAATTATCAAACGAGTCTAATTTTTCCAAAAACCCACCTTAATGACGCTGCTCTGCCTCTTTTCATGTTTTTCTGAGCTTGTAGTTTCTGTAAGAATTTTTTTTAAGTGTAGCATATTTAAGACGCTAGAATTTCAGTTTTATTTTCTGTTATTTCAAGGAATATAGATTTTAGATAAGCATGGATTTGTCTCTATAAACCAACAGGACAGAATGTCTTGGTAGGACACTATTTCACAGTCACAGCAAGAGTTAAAGATTTTTCTGAATTATGGCCAGAGACAGAGAGCATCTTTCCTCATTTCTACAATTCCTTGGGTCAAAAGGAAACCTAAAAACTCACCAGCCCAGATCTCCAGAGCTGTTATCCTTTCCTGCACATAGCAATTCTCAACCAATAAGGTCACAAATAGACAGGCAAGCGAATAACAAAAAGATTAGCAAACCAAATTTTCTGTTATCTCCCCTCGGCCAGGCAGGCCCTCTGTCTGCTATGCATCCTAAGTGGACCATGAAATCGAATTTCCCATTGTTGGCCCCCAATCAGAATGATTCGGCCATGTACAACCGAAAATAAAAACACACACACAAAAAGAGAAATAAAATTAGCAAATTCAAAGTCCCATTACATTTGGGATTCCTGCTGAGAGCTGAGATGAGAGATGCAGGAGCCAGGCATGGGGCTACACACCTGTCAGCCCAGCACTCTGGGAGGCCCAGGCAGATCACAGATCCAAGCCCAACCTGGCCAACTTTGAGACTCAGCGAGACCTGTCTCAAAATAACAAAATGGAAAAGGGCTGGGGTTGCAGCTCAGTGTGGAGGTCCTGGGTTCAAGCTCCGCATGCACTAGGCCCATTGCGTGTGCCTAGTGGCTTCCCCTGGTGAGTCCTCGGACCAGGGACTTCCAAGGATAATGAAAGAATCATGACCCGAAGATGACCATAAACAGTCCCATATTGCAGATTTTATTTAACTTGTGAATCTTATGACTCGTTCAAAGCATGGTTAGAAAACAAGGAGGCCCATTGAGCAAAGACAGGTTAGGACGGGAGCTCTGAGTGAGACATGTGGAAGCTGGGTCCTGCCCAGCACCCCGTGAATCTCTGGAGTTATCTCATCAGGCAGAATGACTCACATGGCTCCCGGACAAGATCTGCCAGTGACGGTGTGACTTCATTCAGTCTGGGATTTCCATCAGTCCCGAGCAGTGACTTCCCATAGTCAGGAAGATGTTGCAGGCCGCATGTGGTGCTGAGGGGATTCACTGTCCACCTCGATCGAACATTTCTTTTCTTTTTTTGTTTTTTGGAGACAGGTCTCAAACTCACGTCCTCCTGCCTCAGCCTCCCGAATACTAGAATTACAGGTGTGGACCACCACATCCAGCTAGGGCCAGATTGTTGGGGGCTCTGAAACTGGGGAGAAGGAAAGGAGGGGCTGAAGATAAACACATCCCCCTTGCACGCATGGTCCAGAGCCTCCCCTGTGGGGACAGCTCCCTAACCCCGCTTCCTTCCAGGAAGCCAAGTTCCGCTTCCTGGGCAGCGAGGAGGAGCCACAGATGATCTTCGACTGGGTGGACGTGGAGCGGAGGGGCCGCCTGTCCCTGGAGGAGTTCAGCACCGGGCTCAGTACGTCTGTCCTGGGAGGGCCCCAGTCCCCCACCGGCCAGGGCCTCCCATGTCCCCTGAGCACCTCTTCATTACCTTCTCCCACTCCCACTGTCCTCTATCAGGGGTCACCTGCCTTCCGGTCCTGACCTGGGCCTGTTGTGTCTCCTCCCGAGGACAGTCACATCTTGGCTCCCGTCCTGGGACCCTGGGTCCTTGAGCAGCACAGGGCACTGCTTAAGGGGTGGGGGCTTCCCTGGGCCTGAGCCCCCCTGGGCAGGTCCACTCCAGCACCGGCCTCTGAAGGAACCCTGAGAGCCCAAGGTCGAGGGAAAACAGAGGGACAAGACCCTTTCTGAGTCCCTGCAAGCCGCCAGTCCAGTGTCCCCTAGGCCCCAGACCTCTCCAGGCAGTGTGCGTGTGCAGCCTGTGGCTCCCCCAGCAGCTGCTCTGGCTCTGGGGACTGAGAAGTTGAGAGTGGAGAGGAGGACTCGGCTGACGCTGCGGGTGGAGTGCAGGGGGACACAGCAGCCCCAAGGGGGCATCCTCACCCCGGGTCCCATCACGTCACTGTGGAATAAACTCTGACCTTTCCCTTAGCTCCACAGGGCCTGCACCACCCAGACCCTGCCAACCTCTCAGGCTCACTTGGTACCAGGTGCCCCTTCCATTGTTCCAGCTTGGTTCCTACCCCAGGGCCTTTGCATGTGCTGTCCTCCCTGCCTGAACCACTCACTCATTCTGGTCATTCACGACCCAATTACCATGTTGGCTCCTTGGGATGCTCCTAGCCACCCCATGTTGGCTTGGAAATTACTGGGTTTATTCCTTTGACTGACTTAGCAAATCTGCTTTAAATGAGGAGCGGAAGGAGAGAGAGGGGCAAAAGGAAGAAGAGGCGGGGCGGGGGGTAATTATCCTTGTCACCTTAACTAGAATGTCAGGCCCACCAGAGCCGGGATTTGGGCTAATTTTGTCACCCGCCCCTAGCAGATGCTCAGTAAATACCCCTTGATCGAGTGCGTAGTGTCTGTTGGCCACCGCGGAGCTGCTGTGTGACTTCCGGTCGGTCTCCGCCTCAGATGGTCTGTAAACTGGGCGGACGTCTGCCTTGAGTAGACTCCAAGTTGACCCGAGGACGATATGAATGCATGCGACAGGCACAGGGGTGATTCCTTCTCCGAGGCCCGGAGCTGGGCCCAGCCCCACTCTGCTCCCCTCTGTCCCCCAGAAAACATCTTTGGCTCCAGCCTGAGCACCCACGGGCTCCGCAGGAGGCGGCCACTGCCCTCCCAGCGCGTTTCTGTGTCGGTGACCGGCGGCTTCCCGGCCCTGGAGGAAGCCAGCGCCGAGGAGAGGGCGGCGTTCCTTGCCCTGGTGGGGCAGCTGGGGACCGGACACCTGCTTCCCGAGTAAGGCCTGTAGGGGGCGCTCTGGGGTGCAGTCCTGCCTGGGGCTCCGGGCCTACGGAGTTCTGGGGTCAGGGAAGGGGCGGTGCCTGCAGAGGCCCCGGGATCGAGGACCGAAGCCTCAGCCCGGCCGCCCGAGGGCGGGGCGGGGCGGGGCGGGGCGGGGCGGGGCGTCAGGAACCTCCCCACCTTGGCCTGGCTCAGCCCGGGGCGCCCGTCTTCATGACTTCATCACATCCCTATGAAAGCAGGATTTATCCAGTGCCAGCCGCGTGCCAGGCCGCACCCCACTATGAGCCGCTGCAGCAGGGAGGATAGAGGTTGTGGGGTCAGGAGCGGAGCGCCACATCCGGGAAAGGCCCCGTCCGGGGTGGGGGGGGTGGGGGGTTGCGTGGCCCAAAGCCCGCGTCTCTCAAAGTGCAAACCGAGGCACAGGCGCCCCACGTCCTGGCCCCTGCGTCCAATCTCTGGGGCTTCCCTTTCCAGGCAGACGGAGATCTGGCGACTGTGGGGGAAACTGAGGCAGGAGGAGCCGCAGCTGGCCGGCAACCTGGAGGGCTTCCTGGCCAAGATGAGCAGCCGCCTGCAGGAGGTCCGGGCTGACAGGGAGGCCCTGGAGCAGAGGCTGAGGAAGTGAGTCGTGGGCAGCTGTGTCCCTGCTGCGGGGTCAGCACCTAGGGTGAACGGGGACAATTCCCATGCAGGTGGCTCGGGAGCCTGTGGGGAGGACACAGGCCCCGATCACCCGTGTCACAGAGGGTGTCGCGGGCACAGCCTGCCCAGGGTGTGCGTTAGGAGGTGCTGAGGGCCACTGGGCGCCCGCCCTATCCCTCGCAGGCGCGACTCGGACCACCACCGCCAGGTGCAGCAGCTGTACGAGGAGCTGGACCACCAGATCCACGGGGAGAAGCAGCAGCTGCAGGCCCAGGTGGGCGCTTCGGGTTCCCCAGAGCCATAGGTGGGTGAGCGGGGCTTGGGCCACTTCCTGTCTCCGCCCGGGGTCGGCTTCTGCTCGCCGGCCTTGCTCGCCTTGCTGCGACAAGCTAGATGCAGGCAGGGGACCCCAGGAACCCTCCTGGCTGGGACCCCTGGCCCTGCGCCCGGGCCAGAGTGGAAGTGGTGTGGGGCCCACAGCTCAGGCGCCTCCTCCACAGAGCGACTCCCGGGACAGGGTCCTCAGCGCCCAGATGCAGGACGCCCTGGAGGCCAAGGAGCGCGAGGTGCAGCGGCTGGCGCAGGGCCAGCGCGAGGTGAGCACCCTGGGTCCTGACCAGAGCAGCGCCTTGGCCTCTTCCCACCCGGGGGCCTGTCCTGGCCTCAGTTTCTCCATCTGTAGAATGGGGGTGGCCCGTCCACGGTGTCCTCCAGGCTCAATGTGTCCGAGCCGAGATCTCTGTCCACTGTCAGCCGAGTGACCACTCTGAGCCTCTCTGTTCCCGGAGGTGTGAGTCCTCCCCTCCCTGCACCCGCAGCTCTAGCGTGTGCCCAGCACCGTGGGAGGTTCTGAGGGACTCAGCCCCGCCCACAGAGCTGCCGTCAAATCGGGGGATGACAGGGATGAGGACACGCTCACACAAGGACAGGGATTGCAAGCAGTGCCCAGGAGGAGGCTGGGAGTTGAAGAGAGTGGGGAGGGAGTCACAGGCCTCTCTGAGACCGTGACGTTGGCGAGGAGACCGGAAGGGGTGCATGTCGGGAAGAGCAGTGGGGTGGAGGGAGTGGCCTGTGCAAAGGCCCTGGGCTGGTACAGTGTGCCTGAGGTTCAAGGAGCAGCAAGCAATGCCCCTCCTAACCTGAAGCCCAGCAGAGTGGGGCAGGGGGCTGTGGCTGCCCTGGGGGGGGCAGCTACGCATCCCCTTGCTTTTCCTCCCCCAACAGCTGGAGGCCCAGCTCCACAGCCTCAGTGACACCCACCAACAGGCCGCCTCAGAGAACCTGCAGCTCAGGGAGGCCGGCCGAGACCTGGCCAAGCAGCTGGACGAGGTGCAGGGACAGCTGCAGGTGACCCGGGGACACCTGGATGCGGCCCGGGGCCAAGTGTCTTGGCAGGTAGAAGAGGAGGCGAGGCAAGTGCTGCCCCCTCTGGACTGTGCACCGCACCCCTCCTCAGCCCTAACCCCGCATGCTTCTCAGAGGGGAGACTGAGGCACAGAGAGGGCAAGACCCGTGGCCAAGACCACATGCTGGGGTTCCAACGTGCACACGCGACCCTGCACACACACGCACACACTCGAGCCTAGCAGTGCTGGTCCCCAGCGGCCTGCACCCTGAAGCCGGCAGCGCAGGGTGGGCCGAGTCGGGAGGCTTCCTGGAGGGGAGGAGACCCTGTGGCCTCAGCGGAACAGTCGGGAGCAGAGGTGGCCTGAGGGCCCAGGCGCAGAGGAGGGAGCAGGCGCCGGGGCTTGCGGGTGGGTGACCCGCCCCTCCCCCACTTCACTTCCCACTTCCTTCCAGCGTCCCCAGAGCCAGTGAGAAGCTCCCAGCCGCTCAGGCTGTGGCCCCCGAGGAGGCGCCCCTGCCCGGGCTGTTTGAGGACAATGGCGACTGGGGCCAGCTCCTGAGTGGCTTCGGCAGCCCTCCGAACCAGGCCCTGCAGCTCTCCTGGAGTCTGCCGCCCACGCCCCAGGCCACCCCAGGGCCCCGGATGCCCCGAGTGGTCAGGCAGATCTCCATCTCCAAGCCAAACACTTGGCCATCTGGCCAGGAGCCGCCTTTGGACCCAGATCCAGATGGGGCCCCGGGGAGCCCGCCAGGGGTGCCCCCCAACACCCAGCATGGGAAAGGAGAGGACACGGGAGGCCAGGACACCGGTCCAGAGCAGCCTGTCAGGCCCCTTGGCCGGGAACCCCGCCCTGAGCCAGCAGCTGCACCCCGGGCTGCCTTCCCCTGGGGCCTTTCAGGGGGTCAGGGGAGCCTGGTGGCTGCTGCGCTCAGGGTGCTCGTTCCTGTGGAGGACAGTGGCTCCCGTCCCTCTCCCCAGGCTCCTGCTGGGGCCAGCGAGCAGCTCCAGGCCTCAGACGATACAGACCCTGGGCCCAGCCCTGTCCCGGCCGAGCCGCTCAGGCAGAGAGAGGCCCCGAAGGCTGAGGGCACTGAGCCAGGCCTGGGCTCCCTGGGGACTGTGGCCTCCCCACAGGGCCTGGAACCCATAGGTCAGGCTCTCCCAGAGGGCCCGGAGCTGGGCCAGCTGAGCCTGGTCGGGCAGGATGGCCAGTCCGAGGGGCTCAGGGAAGCCCATGGCCAGGCCCTTGGGCCAGATGGGCTGCCAGTCCTCCCCTTCCACAGTCCCGAAGAGGAGCCCCAGGCTGGAGAAGGAAAAGCAGTAGGCCGAGGCAGGCAGGGCCCCAGTTCCAAGCAGGCAGCTGAGGCTATCCAATCGCCCCAGCCTGGCTCTCCCGGTGCTGAGCCACCACGGGCTCCCTCAGCAATGTCGCCCCCTCCTGGCGAGACGTCCCCGGTAGGCCTCTCTCCCACCAGCAAGGTCCAGGAACCCACACAGACCCTTCCGGTCCTGACACCCCAACCCAAAGCTGCCCAGGCAGAGAGAGAGCCCAGGGCAGAGAGCCGGCCTGGCACAGACTCCTCTGAGCCTCACCCTGGCAGCACCGGCGGGCCTCAGGCTGACCCTGACTACCTCTTCCACATCGTCTTCCTGGGCGACTCCAACGTGGGCAAAACTTCCTTCCTGCACCTGCTGCACCAGAACACCTTCGCCACTGGGCTGGCCGCCACCGTGGGTAAGCGCCCTGCCAGGGAGGGTGCCCAGGGCCAGGGTCCCAGGGGAGGCGGCAGGCTCTGCCATAGCCACAGGCCCTGCATTAGGTATAATTTTATATGGGCGTAATCTTACTATTGCACTAATCGTCTCTAATTACAGGTAATTTGCTTTTTCTGCATCGATCTGATTAGCTTATAATGTGCCACATCAACAAAGCACCCCACAATTTAGGTGCCAGGGCTCACCGGTGGTAAAAACAGCCTGTCTCCACCCACGTGCCCATGGGCAGGCTGCGGCAGGGCCCAGGGGATTTGCTCATGACAACCCCGGCCAGCCTGCATACTCTGGCAGGAAGTCACCCTAGGCAAGTTGTATCTTACACAGGACACACTTGGACAAACTCACAGCGTGTGTTTACTACGACCCAAGGTTCCTGAGTTCAAATCCTAGCTCCAGCACTTACTGGGGATGTGAGCTTGGGCAAATTATTAACCCTCTGTGTGAGCCTCTAGTGGCTGTAACAAATACCCGAGAGAACGAATTTGTAGAGGGGAAAGGTTTCTCTTGGCTCACTGTTTTGGAGGTCTCAGTCCATGGTTGGGTGCCCCATTACCTCTTGACCTGTGGCAAAGCAGCACCTGGAGGAGCAAAATTGCTCACCTCAAGGCAAGGAAGCAAAAGAGAGAGAAAGGAGGGGCTGGGACCCCACTTTTCCCCTCCAGGGCACCCCTGACGACCCAAAGACACCCACCTCTTAAACTTTCCACCACCTCCCAATGGCACAGCTGGGGCCCAGCCTGCAACACAAGGGTCATTTCAGATCCGAACTGTAGCACCCCAGCCTTAAAACCGTCCCCTGCATAATGGGAACCACAGTAACTCGACTTCCAGAAGTGGTGGGAGGATTTAATTCATGCCAAGCTCTAATCATAACATCTGGCAGGTCATAAGTACTGGAAGAAGGTCAGTTCATGGTCGCTGTTTTATTAAGTAAATATTGGATAAAGTCTAATTCAGTGGCTTATGCAAAAGAAGCTCCCCAGGGCCGGGGATTTAGCTCAGTGGTTCCACTGCCTGCCTCGAATGTGGAAGGTCCCGAGTTTGATCCCTGGTACCAAAAAAAAAAAAAAGAAGCTCCCCAAAAGTATCAGGGTATGTGGCCACAGAATCCAAGTTAGGATACTTAGGGACAAAGAGTGTTTTGTGTCAGGCCAGGGAATGGCCCAATGGGGACCCATGTAGGCCAGTGGCCTATGACTATACTCACCCAGGAGAGGCCTGGGTCAGGTTCTCAAGCTTCTCTCTGCCCATTAGTTAGAGATGGGCCGGGGAACCCCAGAACACCTGTCCAGATACCAAGTAGGGCCACAAGTTCTCCACGGCCACCACAACTAGCCACCTACAAGGTACTGTTTACTGACCGTTTATTATGGGGTAGGAAAGTTCCACAGAATAATCGAGGAAAGCCAGGTGCATCGCTGAGAAGAGACAGGGCCAGCCCATGTGCACAGCCAGCTGGGACCCCCGGATGTCCAGGTCCTCTCAGCCCACCATCCTCAGAGCTGAGAACCCGAGCCCAGTGCCACTGAGGACAGGGCCCAGTGGAGACCCAGAGGCCGTGGAGTTGTCTGTGATGAATGCATGTTTTTCATATGGCCCATTGTATGGATGAGAAAAGCAGACAACTGAAGGCCCAGTTAGGTCACCAGGGGCCACCTGACTTCAAAGCCCAGCCTCCACACCGGAAGTTGAGCCCTGGTGGTGGGGGGGGTGTCAGCAGTTCGCTTATCCATGGGGCTTCTCAGTGAAAACCCAGCTTCCCTGAGAGGAGGAAACAGTATTCCTGATGGTTTCTGTGCTTTAGTCTTCACACTGATGCAGGGTGTGGGACTGCAGAGCAGGTAGGGGCCCGGGGACAGCAAGTGCAGAACTGTGGGGGTGTTGGGTCACTCCCCGACATGGTGGGTCTGGAAGCTGAGGCCGGTGGGTATTAGAGCCGAAGTTCCTCCGTCCCGGGGGCTTCTCAGGGTCTTGAGGGAAGAGGGCAAAGGGAGGTGCATGGGACAGACTCACTCGGGCTTCCCTGCTTTGCTGGGATCAGGCTTCCTGTGGGGGTATCAGGGAGGAGGGCGGGGCAGCAGGTGCTGCTGGGAAGGTGCACCCCAAGGACCTGAGCCTCTCCTGGGATTTCACTCTTATCTCCATATTCCTGGGGACAAAAAGAATCTGGTGATGGGTGTGGTGGCGCACACCTGTGATCCCAGCACTCGGGAGGCTGAGGCAGGAGGATGGCCACTAGTGTGAGGCCAGCCTGGGCTACACAGTGAGTTCAAGGCCAGCCTGAACCGCATAGTGAGACACTGTCTCCAAATACCCCCACCAAAAAAAGAGTCTGGACTGTCATCACAGGAAGGGGCGGGGCTGAGAAGAGCAAGGGGCATGTGATCGTAAAGATGGGACTGAAACAAAGCTAAAATGAAGAAAGGTTTCCCAGGCGGCATGAGGTCCCTATGCAGGTGGGGACCCATGGTACCTGGCCTGGGCGTGGCTGGTAATCTAGGAGGGCTCTGGAGGAAGACCCCTTGAAGGAGGAGGGCTCTGGAGGCAGGGCCGGATTTGGAGAGCAGAGGGGGAGCCCAGTAACCAGGCTGCGTCCCGGCACGGCTGGGGCTGGGGACGCATGTGTATGGGGACAGGCCTAGGCTGGGCATGCTGGGGGTAAAGTGTGTCCCCCTCTGCATTCTAGGAGTGGATTTTCGGGTCAAAACCCTGCTGGTGGACAACAAGTGTTTTGCTCTGCAGCTGTGGGATACTGCTGGCCAGGAGAGGTACTGTGTGTCGCCATCAGCGACCTGGCTTGCAGAGGGCGCAGGACCAGAGGGAGCTGGGGTTGGAGGCCACCGAGGGCCAGGGGTAGCCATACCCCAGGGTGCTAGGCACAAGCAGGAGGGTGACTGGGGGCCACGGACGGGGACAGGGAGGTGCGGGTGAGGACCACCCCAACACTGGTGCCGTCCCGGGTGCCTGCACAGGTATCACAGCGTGACACGGCAGCTGCTCCGCAAGGCCGATGGGGTGGTGCTCATGTACGACATCACCTCCCGGGAGAGCTTCGCCCATGTGCGCTACTGGCTGCACTGTCTGCAGGTGAGCGAGGCTGCCGGGGCCTGCCCAGCTTCTGGGACAAGAGGGAGTTGTACCCTGCCCACTCCCCCCAGAGTGTAAACGACACGACAGTCCCAACGGTGCCACCACCCCTGAGCTCCTGTGGATGGACAAGCTGGGAGTGCAGGAGCATGGAAAACAGCATCCGCACAGCACACCCTCCAGACCAAACTGCTTCCTTTATCCTCCGAGTGCTTCTTTCCCACATACAGCAGCTGTTTGTGATGTTTTCCTCCTAAACCCGAGGATGACCTAGGGCCACCCTCGGTGACAGTCCCTGTGTTCACAGCCCCCGGTCCCTTCTCCCACAGCACAGATCTGTCAGGATTCTACCACGGGTGTGAGCATAGCTGGGAGCCGCTTTAGCTCGAGTTGCTTTACCCTAGATTTCTAGTCTGGCTGAAGAGATGCAAAAGAAGGAGGAGGGAGGTGGGCTCTGGGATCTGACTGGACTTAGATTTGAACCCCAACTACCCTACCCCACTCTGATTTTGGAGGAGTGACTTGCCCTCTCGGAACTTCAGGTTCCTGCCTCCCCCTCAAGGGAGTCAAGAGGAGGAACTGGTAGGATTGCTCCAGCCTCCACCTGGGCACAGCAAGTGCTCGGTCGTCAGAGCCTTGATTGATTGGTTGTGGTACTGGGATTGAACCCAGGGCCTCTACACTGAGCTAGAGCCCAGCCCTTTTTTATTTTATTTTGACACGGGGTCTTGCTAAGCTGCTTAGGCTGGGTCTCAAACCTGGGATCCTCCTGTTTCAGCCTCTCCAGTAGCTGGAATAATAGGCGTGGCCTGCTGTGCCCAGCCAAAAGCCATTATTACTATTATTATTATTGACACAATTAGGAAATTGCCAGGGCAGCCTGTGTAATCAAACAAGGGCAGGACCACCCAGGAAGGCTTCCTGGGGGAGGTGACCTTGGACGTAGGTGAGATTCTGGTAAGGGGCCGGGGACTCACTGCAGGTGGGGAAGGGTACAGGTGAGGAGGATGCACAGCGGGAGTGACACGGCAGGGGGCACCCGTGGGCGCACCCACTGAGCCGGTGTTCTGTGCGCAGGACTCCCGGGCAGAGGGCGTGGTCCTCCTCCTGCTGGGGAACAAGCTGGACTGCGAGGAGGCGCGGCAGGTGCCCACAGAGGCCGGGCAGCAGCTGGCGCAGGTGAGCGGCGCCGGCCCTCCCCAGCCCTTTCCGGGCGGCCCACTGCCCCTGCTGGCCCAGCCCCGGGGACCGGGACAGCAGCCCCCGCCGTGGTGGGCGCCACAGTGAACCTCCCCGCCCTGCAGCTCGCGGATTCCCACAGACGCCCTCAGCCCCGCCCAGAATAGCTCCAGAGTGAAAAGGTTTCAGAAACCTGACTTGAAAGTCCCTATCCAATCTTACTTTTATCCCTGGCTTTTAATTAACATCCTCCTTTCTAATTTATTCTATTCTAAGACTCAAGTTCTTCCTTGGGAAGACGACATCAAAAGCTCCCTGCCAGGCCGGGGCTACCTCTCTTTATAAATGGGACTGCGTGGGACTTCGGGAGAAAGGGGCGGGGCCTCCTTCGCCCCGCCTCTGACTCCGCCCTAGCCTACAGTCTCTGTTTCTGTACTCAGTCCCAAAGTCACCTTATGACTCCTGGATGGCCTGAGTTTTTCTTTTTTTCGGTACCGGGGATTGAACTCGGGGCCTTGCGCTTGTGCAGCAGGTGGCGAAACCACTGAGCTAAATCCCCGGCCCTGGCCTGAGTTTTTCCTCTCAAAAGTGGCACATCTGCCTAACAGCGATTCTTTCTCCAGCAATTTACCCACAGGAAAGAATCAGAAGCAATGGTAGCAATGGCAATACATAATGGATACCCATGTGGGGCAGATGATTGAACGTGTTAATGTGAGGATGTTCTTTATTTAGAGTATTGTTCATAAGAACAACCATCTTGCCGGGCATGATGGTGCACACCTGTGATCCCAGCACTCGGGAGGCTGAGGCAGGAGGATTGCCTTGAGTTTGAGGCTGGCCTGGGCTACAAGGCAATACCCTGTCTCAAAAAAAAAAAAAAAAAAAAAAGGCAGTGGTTGGTGATTTTTTTTTATGAGATAGGTACAATTTTTATTATTACCACTTTACAAAATATAACCCAAGAAATCATAAATAAGGCTAAAATGAAAACAGACAGTTTCTGTTTGGGTATGGAATAGACTTGCAAATCAGAACACACAGGTTCGGTTAGAAATAAAACAAGTGTTCCATCCTGGCACTTTTAAAGGGAAAAGGAGGACAATAGAGTGAATGAAGTGACTTTTTTTTTAACAATATTCTGTTGGTCTTGTTAGTTACACAAGTTGTTTTGATCAAGTTAGATTGATGGGGGTCCTGTTCATATGGAAGTTATGTGATTAGGCACTAGGGGAAAACAGGCAGGAGGTGATCAGTAAAAGCACTTTTTGGAGACGGGCAGTCGGGCAGTCAGAAGTCCCAGGAATGGAAAGTGCTGCAATCTGGAAGTCTTGCAATCACTTTCTTCCCAGGCAGCATTTTTCCTGAGCCTTTCCATCTGTAGCAAAAGTTCAACGTCTCTCCATCTTTTCCAAGTGACGTTTTTGTCCTTGGTAGAGACAGGCATCGTATCAACTCAGAGCAGTCTGCTTTTCTTGCCTCCTGTTGTAAATAAACTTGAAAAGTCCTTCCCCTCGGTGGTCATTAACATTTTCAAGAACCTCTGCTTGGTCTGCCATTCTTCTAGGCTTGTTCACTCTGCTGTTTTTCCTCTTCTTTTCTTTTACGTTGTTTTGCTTTGTTTTTTGGTTGTTGTCCTAGGTTGTTGTCCTGGACCAGACCTCAGTCAGACCCTCCTGAGCTCTCAGTGGTTGGTGATTAAATGGGGCAGTTCTGTGTTTGCCCCTGAGCATCCTGTCCCAGGAGAGGGTGTAAGGGGACAGACTCATGCTTACTACCTAGTATCCAGCCCAAAAAAACAGGCGGAACCAGATAGTGCTACTAGGTGGGGCCTGAGGGAACTGCTGAGGCTGGGCTGCTGGAGCCATTCACTGGTCAACCATGCAGTGGCACTTAGCTCTTTCCACCCCCTAAAAGGATTTTATATGAAGCTGGGAGTGGTGGTGCACACCTGTAATTCCAGTTTGGCGGGGCCTTGGGCAGGACTGTTTGTGGCCCGGGCCTGGGTGGCGAGGGCTGGGCCTAGTGTTGCTGAGCCCCAAGGCACCTGTGTCTGCTCTGTCACCTGCAGGAGCTGGGGGTGTCCTTTGGAGAGTGCAGTGCCATCCTGGGTCACAACATCCTGGAGCCCATGGTGAACCTGGCCCGGTGAGCTGCCCCCACCCTGCCCAGAGTCCCCAAGTGGCAAGGGAATCCCTGAGGAAGCAGACAAGCAAATACTGGGGCAAAGACCGGGCTCCCAGTCCCGGAGGAAGGCAAACCTGGCCCTGAGAGGCTCCTCCTTCAGCCTCACCATCCATCTGCACCACTGTCACTCCGCAGAGGCCTGTCCCCTCGCCATGCCCATTGTCTGCCTCTGAAGTGGGCTGGGACTGGGGGTGTCCTCCTCCTGCTCACAACATTCCACTGACTTCTGTGGATTTAGAATGGAATCCAGCCAGGCATGGTGGCACACACCTGTAATCCCAGCATTTGGGAGGCTGAGGCAGGAGGATCGCTGTGAGTTCAAGGCCAGCCTGGGCTACATAGTGAAACCACTTCTCAAAAAGAAAGAAAGTGAGATGCCTGGAAATGCACTTTGTCATCTCCAGTGCCCCCTCCCCTGGCCCTGTACACACATTAACCTCTGGCCGCTGCTGCCTGGCCCCATTCGGATCACAGCCTCAGTCAGACACCGTAATTACACACATAGCTGACTTCCTTCTTCCTGAGGCCAGGAGGGTGGGGCAGCCCTCAGCAGGGCCTGGCGCACAGTAGGTGCTCAGTAAATGAATGGGATGAGCACGAGGGGCGAGGTGGGAGGCCAGGGAGAGGACTCGGGGATAAAGGACTGGTGTGTCCCCTGCCCCGGCCAGGCTCAGGTTGCAGTCACCCCCACCCCGAGTCACACTGGGCCACCATTGTCCCTCTTCCCATCTGCCCCTCTCACTGGGCAAAGCAGGGCACATCGCTCCTCTGTCCCACTTAGCGTCCCGGGCATGGTGCCTGCTGCCAGCAGGCCTGAGAGAATGGCAGGAAAGGGGCAGCGGCCAGAGTCGCCCTGACCCGGACCTCCTGCTATGTGCAGAGCTCCCTGGGACAGGGCTGACCCAAGGGCACTGTCACGCAGGGCACTGAGGGCGCAGGAGGACCGCCTGAAGGACTCACTGCTGGAGGTGGCACCCAGGAGGCTGCCCGTGAGAGCTGGCTGCTGCTCCTGACCCCGTTTGCTGTGCTTGGCTCCAGCCTGCCCTCCGGGACCCACGGCTTCTGGGACGCCTGTGTGTGGCCGCATTTCTGTAAGGCCCGGGTCTTCCTTATAAACTAGCGTGGAGGAGATGGAGGGAAAGGTTGCAGGGAGCTTGCTTTGGTGCCGACTCCTCATCCACCTGACCTGAGGTCCTGGGAACAGTGTGTCACCAGGTCGCTGGGGCTGGAAACCGGGCCGCGCCGCTCCTGTGTCCATTTCCTACAGCCCGAAGTCCTCCCTCCCCCACAGCCCTCCCTCGGGATCCTGCTCCTGCCACAGGGCCTCAGTCTCCCCGAGTGGGATTGACAGGTGGGGACTGGAGAGGCAGCGCGATGGGGTCTGGGCAGGCTGCTCTCTCAGTGTCCACGCCTGCGACACCCTGCCGCCAACCACAGGAGTGCCCCACGAGGGCAGGCCGATGTCACGTCGGGGTATGGAGTTGGTTCTTCATAATCACCAGCCTCCGTGGCAGGAAGCTGTCACTAGAGGGCACAAGGTGACCCTGGGGGTGGGTGGGAGGATTCTCCATCAGAGCCACTGAGGGTTGGATTCGGCTCCCTGTGGGTCCCCTCCTCGGGCCCTGCCCTCAGCAGCCCTGGGCATCGTGTGCCCGGGGAGGGGCAGAGGCCCCGGCCCGAGTGAGTGATGCCCCGACAGGGGAGGGCAGGTCCTGCTGCTCTGGGTCCAGGCCTGATGGCACCCACACCTCTGTCCTGCGGGCCCGGAAGTTAATGAGACAGGACAGGAAGGCAGGCCGTGACGCTGGGGCCACAGGGGCAGATGGATGACCTGTCTTTTGGGGAACCAGGGTAGGAGTGGCCCCTGGCAGCCACCTCAGGTCCTGGAAGAGGGGCGTCTGGCTTTCTTTGGGGCAGGGCACAGGTAGGCGGGGCTGTCAGCCTTTCCCGTGTCACTGGGTGCAGTCACCAAGCAGGGCAGGGACCCAGAGCAGCACCCGTGGCCAGGACAGCAGCAGGGGGACTCAAGGGGACCCAGAGACAACTTTCAGCCAGGTGCCAAGTTTTCAGGGTGTCAAGAGGGCTCTGGCCACAGGCTGGTTCAACACTGATTAGGAGAATGAGGGTAGCCAGCTGTGGTGACACACACTCACAATCCCAGCACACAGGAGGCTGAGGCAGGAAGATCGCTACGAGTTCAAGGCTAGTCTGGGCTACACAGTGAGCCTCTGTCTCCAACAGCAACAAAAAAAGAAAGAAAAGGAGGGAGGGATGAGGCTGGTGGGGTCAGGGTGTGGCACGAAGGGGAGGTCAGGGATGAGGCAGGGGCAGGAGGGCGTGGAGAAGAGAGCCCGAAAACACTAGGGCGCGTGGTGAGCGGGAACCGGCCCATCGCTGGATCCAGGGGGCCGAGGTTCCTGCCGGAGGAAGCAGGTGCTTAGGGCAGGGCGCAGGCCCACTCACTCCCGCCTGCAGGTCCTCGAGGCTCTGGGCCAGGGCCAAGATGAGAGGGCAGATACCAGCAAAGACCCATGACTCTGGCCCAAATCCGGAGAGTTGGGCCACCACCAGCCCCCGTTTCCCTCCCACAGTCCTGGGGCCCCGTGTGGGGCAGGAGGGGCTGGCGTCAGCACTGAGAGGCCCCTGCTGTCCTCACTGCCTCAGTTGCTCCCCGGGATGTCGGACGTGAGCAGGTCCCAAGTCCCCAGCAGGGCTCGGACCCCAGGCTGGAGCTGCAGGAAGCCCCACCCCCACCCCGCCCTGGCTGGCAGAGAGAAAGGGGACGCACGTGGGACCTGGGGCAGGGTCACACTGGAAATGTCCCCAGGCCCGCCTTCCCCCAGCCCAGTCTGCAGGCGGCCGTGGGGGCGCCTGGGCTGTCTCTGGGTGTCTCAGGGCACAGCTGCCCCCCCCACTGGTCTGCCCTGGGCATCGCAGGGCTCTGCCAAAAGTGCCAAAGCCCAGACCAACACCCTGCAAACCTCCCAAGTGGCCCCCATGGTGCAGACAGCTCTGAGGAACCAGAGGGACTCTGGGCTTCCTCTCAGCCTTTTCAATCCACTGTCCCATCCGCCCTCTTCACAGGGCTACAGGGCTTTGTTGAAACATTCACATGTGTGAACAATATTTATGCAACTATAAAGCAGTCTCTACTGCCTGCAGAACGTTTAGAAATTATTCAGAACAAAATGAGGGCCGGGGATTTAGCTCAGTGGTTCTGGAGCCTGCCTCGCAAGCGCAAAGTCCTGAATTCAATCCTTGGTACCAAAAAAGAAGAACAAAATGAGCCGGGCATGGTGGGGCATGCCTGTAAGCCTAGCACTCAGGAGGCCGAGGCAGGAGGATCTCAAATTCCAGGCCAGCCTGGGTTAGTAGCAAGACTGTCTCAAAAAAAAGAATTTCCAAAATCTCAGTCTTTAGGGACAATGGCTGTTGACATCAGTTTTATTGCCTATCTTTCCTTATGGCTGGGCAAACTGAGGTAGAGAAGCACTGAATGATGTTCCGGAAGTCATGGTGCTACCAAGCAGCGAGTCGGGTTTGATCCCCGGCATCCGCGGAGCGGGCCTTGCGTGTCAGGCCCCCTGCGAGCCGGGCGGGTCTGCGGAGCCAGGAGACCAGGGTGGCTCCTACACCGTTCTCCCGGTCCGAAACAGCAGGCCCAAGTGTCGGGCGTCATCGCTGTTATGGTCGCTTTATCGCAGCGAGGCAGACGAAGGGCGGGGCCCTCGGGAATGAATGACAGGGGCTGGCCACCTGGCGACCTTCGACCCGGAAGTTGGGAGCCTGGCGGGGGAGGGGCCTCAGGCCCCGCCCCGGCCCCTCCACACCCCGAGCCCAGGAAGGGAACGAGAAACTACAGTTCCCCTGGAGCCGCACGCCTGGGCTTGTGGCTCCCTGAACGCTGTCGTCTTCTGTGTGATTTCTCTCCCCATGGTGGCTGGCGAGGCCATGCTCCCAGCCCGTCCTTCCCTCCAGACCCAGCGCCAGGCTCTCCCTCCCCTCGGCCCTCGCCCTGGAGCCAGCCTCTGGCCTTGGGGTTAGCCCAGGAAGAGGAGAGCGCCTCTACCAAAATTCCCAAGACAGCACGTTTCGCCTGGTCAGCGTGTTTCCGGCTAAACACACGTGCACACACACGCACAAGCGTGCATACACACACTCTGACTCTGGTTGAAAAGTTTAGGAGATAGCGGAGTATGCTGAGTCAAGCTAGTTTCTTTCCTGCAGGACTTGTCAGAATCTTGAAGGCCACGGACAGCAGTTTCTCAAAGTCCGTGCTAAGGAAGCAGCGCTCTGCAGCACACACCTTGGGGAAGAAGGCAGGAGAGAAGCTGCAGCGTGAGGCACAACAAAGATGCTCACAGTGGGGCGGGCGTGCTGCCCCGGGGCAGCGGCTGGGAGCCTTGATTTCCCTGTGGCCAGGGAGCCCAAGGTGAGGGAAGCCAAGCCCAGCTTATGGGAACTACCCTTCTCCCCAGCTGCGCCCCACCCTGCTCCCATTCACAGCAGTCAGGGTGTCTAAATACAGGGACGGTCTGGGGTGAGCATGCCGCAGAGAGGGCCGCCCTCCTCCTGGGCATCCAGGTCGGGCCTAAGCCCCTTCAGTGCCCATGGACTCCAGCCACCGCCGCCCCCCCCCGATAATGGCGGGGAGTCCTTCCCCCTGGCCCAAGGGTGTCACTGTGTGCCCGAAAGGCCCGGTGCTAAAGCTAAGTACTGAGAGAGGAGTAAGGAACAGGTGGGTGCTGCAGGGAACCTGACCCTGTTCTTTCGCTTAAAGACCTAACGGAGGCCTGCAAGGCCTAGGCTTCACCTCGGCGGCCCCACCTCCTGCAGACTCCCTTAACTCAGCTCCAACCCCACAGGCTGCCTTATTCTCCACACCCAGCTCCTACCCCAGGGCCTTTGCACACACTATCTCTAGCTATTTCCTCTGTGTAGAGCCCAGATACCAGCATGGCTTTTTTTTCTGTACTAGGGATTGACCCCAAGGGCTTCAAACTCCCCATTCCTTTATATTTTGAGACAGGGTTTCAATAAGTCTCTAAGTTGCCCAGGCTGTGCTCAAACTTGTGATCCTCCTGACTCAGCCTCCCAGAGAGTTGGGATTACTGGTGTGCACTGCCATGCCTGGCTTCCTGTCAGCATGGGTTCCTGTCTCATTTCCCTGGGGCTCCCCTCAGCGGTCACCACATGTAAAGGCCACTCCGTGGCCTCCTATCCTCTTATTTCTGTCAGTCTTCTCGCTGCCTAAAGCAGTGCTATTGGCCAGTGTGCCTGCACCGGCTGGGTCTCCCTGTCTTGTGAGCGCACATGTGCTGGAAGCTTCTAGTGGGAACAGGGCCTGTGTTTTGGCCCCTGCGGTGCGAAGGTACTGAAGGGAGGGAGAGAAGAGGGCCTGGGTCCAGGCAATGTGTCACAGCAGAAAGGGACATCAGGGACTAGGAAAAGAACCAGATTTACTTCAGTCTAAGGCAAATTCCACAGACTGTCTCAGAGGGGCACAGGACAGACAGCAGGAACACCACCACCGCCATGCAGGGCCAGGAGGGAGGTGGCAGGCGGGTGCCCTGTGGCAGGGGATGGCATGCAGGACCAGGGAGGGCGAGGCTGGCGGCTGTGGGCCAGGGTGACACCGCTCCGCCACCTCCCACGGCTCAGACACGAGGCCCAGGCTGAGGACTGGGGCGCGCCGGGTGGCAGGGGGGTGGGGTGACCCTCGTGCCATGGCACTGGGTGAGACTCAGGCTGGGGAGGGTAGGCAGCGGGGCGGGGCGCAAATGGATGGAGCCTTGGGGCGTGAGCAGGAGAGGCCTCTGGCCTGGCTGACCTGCTCCTTGGGAGGGTGTGGAAACAGGAGCAAAGGCAGGGGCCTCGCTGGCTCCCCCAGGGGCAGGGCTGGAACCCGGTCTCCAGTCCCCTGTCCCCACGTTGGGAGGGCAAAGGGCAGGAGCGCCCAGGCCTCCAGGAGAGCAGAAGGGCCGGCAGCCCCAGAGGAGAGGGGACCCCCTGGAGGTGCCCGAGCACCCACTGCCAAGAGGCCTGGGGTCTGTGCGTCCGGAAGCAGCAGATGCGGCCGGAGAGGCCTGGTCTAGCGTGTGGCCTGTCCCCTGCTGCAGCATCCCTGGAGGGCCACGTCTCAGTTCACGGGAAACGGGGCACAGGACAGCTAAGGGGGTGGGGGCAGGAGGCCCAGCCTAGGCTTCAGGGCCAGGTGAGCAGACACGGACCCCAGGGATCCCCACGAACACCTTCCTGGCTGGGCTGGAGCCCTAAACCCCAGGCCCAGAGTACGTGCACCCCTGTCACCCCTGCATCCCAACGCCCTGGGTTTGGAGCCAGTGAGGTGGGGAACTGGGAAGGTCCTCCGGAGGCTCTGCCCCGGCAGATTCCAGAAGGCCACCGGCTCAGATATGCAGGGGGGACTCGGGGGGCGTGCGGGCCGGTGACTTGGGAGGGGAGTGTGTGGGCGCTGCGGGTGGGGGCCGGGGGCGGATGCCCTGCGCCTTCATGTAGGACACCAGCTGGTCCGGGATCTCGGCCAGCACGTCTCGGGCCAGGCGGGCCATGCTCAGCACGTGGTTGCCTGTGCGGTCCACGTAGTCCCGGAAGGGCACAAACTGTCAGGCAGAGAGGCAGAGTCAGGAGGGCCTCCTGTGGGTCCCGAGCCCCAAATCTCCAGGCCTGGGGGTCATGTCATGGGCACCCCCAGACTCTGCCCTCTCCACCCAGTCACCCTTCCTGGTGAAGCCCTGGAGGGACTGTCACGGTCACTGCTCTGACAGCCACTCAACAGATCCTGGCTGAGCACCTGTTCCCCGAGCCAGGGCGCCCCAGGATCCCCCCACCTCCCCAGAGGGACTGGGAAACAGGGAGCAGCGCCCTCCCAGGCCGGCCTCCTCCTTCCTCTCCAGCAGAGCCCACTCGCCTCCCTCCTGCCCTTCTACCTTTGGGGGACTCTGGCCAACAGCTGGAGCCAGGCCCCTCCCGCTTCTTCCTGGGTCCCCTTCTGCCCCAGTCCCCGGGGAGTGCCCCAAGGTATCTGTACCTCCAGGCTTTGGGGTACTGCTCCCTCCCCCAGCTGCTCTGGCCCCAGGCCCCAAATTCCCTGCATAGCTTCTCTAGGGTCTGCCCTATTGCAGTCTCCCGCCCCTGAGAGCAGCAGACCCGACCAGATGGGGACTCCCCGGGACACAGAGCTCAGCCTGTGACCCCTGCTCCTGCCTGGAGCCTTGGATTTTCCAAACCCAACCCCGGCAGTGCCTCCCCCACCACAAGGGCAGAGGGCTGGGTGCTAGCTCCCCGGGGAGCTGCCAGGCAGAGGATCTTGGACAGGGCACGGCCACCGGGACGGAGGAGGTGACCCCAGAACTGGCAGGCCGCTGCGGGGCTCTTGCAGTTATTTGCGGGCTTCACCTGGACAATGTCGCGCTCAGCCAGCTTCCCTCGGGAAGAGATCCTCACGTCATCGCCGTCCAGCTCCACCATGGCTGCACGGGGGGAGGTTGGGGCAGACTTGTCCCCCAGTCCCAGGGGCAGAGGCTGCCCGGCACGCCCATGCAGGAGCTGGGGACTCTGAGGCCAGGAGATGGGAACGGAACCTCTGTCCAGCCGGGTGGGCCTCTGCTGCAGCCCCAGGGCCCAGGCACCCAGGGCAGAGGGGGCAGGAGGGGCTCCCAGTGAGGGCACCACGCCACTCCTGCACCTCACCGATGCCACCCGCGCCCACACGGCCCCCGCAGCCCAGGACTCACGGGGTGGGGACTCACCGTCAAACTCCGCCTGGCCCACGCCGATGATGATGATGGACATGGGGAGCTTGGCAGCCTGGGCCCCGCAAGGCCGTTGAAAGGAGAGCGGCAAAAGGTGGGGAAATGCGCGAGAGAGGCGAGGACACGTGATGGGGAGAAGGCCCCGGCCGGCCCGTTTCCCCCGACGGGGGAGCCCACCCTTCAGCCCCGCACCCCACTCACGTTGACGATGGCCTCCTTGGTCTGTGCCATGTCGGAGATGACGCCGTCGGTGATGATGAGCAGCACTGAGTACTGGGAGCCGTCCTGCACGGCCGCCGCGCTCCTGGCGGGGCACAGCTGGGTCACGGCCGCCCCCCAGGCCCTGGGGAGGGGCACCGCGCACGGACGGACGGCGGGGCGGGGCGGGGCGGGGCGGGGCGGGGCGGGCGGAGGCTCACCTGGCCACGTGGGTGACCACGGGCGCGAAGTTGGTGGGGCCGTAGAGCTGCACAGTGCGCAGGCTGCGGTGGTAGGCGTCCAGGATGCCGTCGATGCCGCAGCACGAGGGGTTTTCCTGGTTGCCGTTCTGGGGCGCAGAGGAGGGGGCTGGGCCTAGGGCTCACCCCAGGGCCCCGAGAACCTCTGGCCAGCGTCCCCCCACCGTCCTAAGAGGCCGTGGGGGTCTGAGCAACTCAGGAAGGGCCTGCGGCTGCTCTGTCCCTCACGTCCTGCGCCCTGCATGGCACCCGGCACGGCTGCTCATGGCGGGCAGAGAGGACACCGCCCCAGGCTTCAACTCCACAGGGCGCTGGACCCCACCACGGCACCATTTCCGTCACCCCTTGTTACGGTTTATATCTGGATCCCCCCCACACACACACACCTCATGTGCTCAGACGCGACTTCTGGAAGGTGCCTGATTGGGGGCTCATGGCTGACTTCCTGTTAGGTGACCCGGAAGAGTTTGCCGCACTCCCAGCTCCTCCCTCCACTCTCTCTGCTTCCCTGCACACCACGGGCCGCTCTGGCCACCAGGCAGGCCCCCGACCCCAGCCCTTCCTTCCTCCTGACCCCTACCAGCGGGAACTCATGGGACACCCGGCCGTCAGGGGGCAGCTTGGCCCCGAAGCCCAGGGCGGGGAACATCTTGTCGCTGTCATAGTGCTGGATGATCTCCCCGACAGCAGTCAGCGCCAGCGCATAGGCGTTCAGCTGGTAAGGGCTCATGTAGTGCAGGGACGTCGACTGCGAGGGGTTCCCTGCGACATGGGACACTGGGTCAGCACGGAGCGGGGTGGGCAAGGGCACCCTAACTTTGCTGTATTCCTCCTGGACTCCCCTCTCTCGCTCCATATTCGATCCCATGGCAAACCCTGGCTGCTGAAGTAGAAAACAGATCAGACAGCAGTGGCCTTGGGATAGCGCCTGCTTCTTGCCACCCATGCGCCTACTTCACGCCTGCATAGCACAAGGCCGAGCTGTCAAATGGCCACCAGGGCTCGGGGCTCCTGTCCCGCCTGGGCAGACCCAGAGCCCAGGAGGTGACACAGGATCCCATCTGGCCCCTGTCCCCAGGCTACATCCTTGCTGCACACCCTCAGCCCCGCCTCACAGGCCCCTGGCCATCCCCACCATACAGCCTGGGCAGTGGCTGTCCACTCCACGCATGATCCCTCTCCCTTGCCTCTGCATCATCTCAGTGTGGCCCCGAGCAGCCCACAGGAAGTTACAGCCTCCCCAGACCTGCCACCCTACCTCCTGCCATGGATTCTCCCACAGTCCCTGTCACCCTTCTCAGAGTCCATATGTCAACCATGGGGTCACTAATGAGAGGCCCAGCAGCAGGGACAGCCAGGGCACACCCTGCCACTGGTGTGGACTTGGTTAAGTCCCTTAACCTCTCAGCCTCAGTCTCGTCTGTAAAATGGGGATAACAACAGTCCCCATCCCCGGGACCGCTGGGAGGATTAACCAGGTGTCACTAGTGTCCTTGAGGCCTCCCAGCTCTGGGACCTCAGCACCCTATGATGCTTGAGCTGCTGCACAAGAGGGGTTCCTGACACACAGGAGGGGGGCCCGGGCTTGGCATCATCCGATTGGCACCAAAATGAACGCTGACTGAGCACCCTCCTCGAGAGTCCAGAACCTGAGCAGGCTGTGACCTCTCTGAGTGCCTGTTCCCTGAGACTTGGCCACAGGGAGATGCTGAGCCGGTCAGAGGAGGGGAGGAAGTGGGCATAGCCACCCTGGTGAGGTCAGCACTGGGGTCCCTGCCTCCTGAGGACCACGGAGCAGATTTGGTCCCCACTGTCCCTTCCAGCCCATGGGCTGGGCCCCTCAGGAGAGGAGCCGTGACCCTGAAGGACACATCGCTGCTCTGGGCACCCCAAGGGCAGGGCCAGGGTCTGGCACGTGGCCCCCAAGCCCAGCTGTGTTAGTGTCAACAGTGTGACTTGAGACACCTCTGCCATCTCAGTTGCACCTCTGGTCTCTTGGGCCCAGGGACCTTGTTTTTGGTAAGGAAGAAGCCACAGATATGAGGGACCCAGTGGCTCATGGCCAGGGCCATCACCGCCACCCTTAAGTCTCCCCCCCACACCATCCCCCACTCACCGTTGGAGGCGGTGAAGTCAATGGCCACTGTGAAGTTGATCTGGGTCCTAGAAGAGGGGGAAAGGGGGGTCACCTGGGAAGGGGGGCTGTGGAGAGGGCAGATGGTGCTGGGCAGGAGGGACAGAGCCACTGAGTGCCAAGGGTGTGGCCTCAGTGATGAGAAACTGAGACAGTGAAGCCCGCTGTTCCCTCCTCCAAAGGATGCTGTAAGCACCCGGAGCTGGAGGAGGCTCTGCCGGGCACATGGAGGTGATTACTTCCCTCCTCCTGAAGGGGCCCTTGGGGGCCACTGGAGTGGGCTGGGTGAGCACTAGTCTCACTGGCCTCCTGATTCAGGGCTAAAACAGGTGACAAAATAGATGTTACTGGTTTCCCCAGGGAAGAACAGGGCACCACCATGAATTCGTCTTGCCAAAAAGTTGAGTCTGAACCTGACTGGGCCTTAGCATTCCCATCGACCAGTTTTTTACAGGAAATACAGGAGACAGAGGCACAAGTTGAATGACACCATGGGGATGCAGCCAGCAAAATTGAGTCCTTAGGAAACTGAGGAGCACAACCCGATGAGAGGTCCATGGACCTGCGGTGTCAGCATTGCCCAGGAAGCTGGGAATCTCAGGCCCCCTCTACACCTCCTGAGTCAGAATCTCTTTTTTTTTTTTTTTTGGTACTGGGGATTGAACTCAGGTTCTTACTCTTTCAAGGCAGGCAGCAGAACCACTGAGCTAAATCCCCAGCCCTATGAGTCAGAATCTCTTGTGGAGTCCTTCAGGTGCTTGGGGAGCCAACAGACAAAAAGAAGATTAGGAGGGCCAGGGATTTAGCTCAGTGGTTTTGCCGCCTGCTGCATAAGTGCAAGGACCCAAGTTCTATCCCTGGTACTGAAAAAAAAAAAAGGAAAATTAGGAGATAAGTCCACTAGTCAACATATGGATCTTGACTGGATTTTTTTTTTTTTTTTTGGTACCAGGGATTGAACTCGAGGTCCCTTGCCTAGATTTCTGATTCAAACAAACCAATTTAAAATCTATGAAGCTGGGTGCAAGTGCAAGGACCCGAGTTTGATCCCCGGTACCAAAAAAAAAAAAAAAATCTATGAAGCTGGGCATGATGGTTGTTCTTTACAATCCCAGCAGTCTGGGAGGCTGAGGCAGGAGGATCACAGGTTCAAGCCCAGCCTGAGCAACATAACCACTTAGTGAAATCTTGTCTCAAAAAAAAAAATTAAAATTAAACAGGGCTGGGGGGCCGGGGATTTAGCTCAGTGGTTCCAGTGCCTGCCTTACAAGCACAAGGTCCTGAGTTCAATCCCTGGTACCAAAAAAAAAAAAAAAAAAAAGGTCTGGGGATGTAGGGATGCAGCTCAATGCAAAGGCTCTGGGTTCAATCCCGCTCCACACACACACAAACACTTTATGAGAGGGCTGGGGTAGAGTGCTTTCCCAGCAGGCACAAGGCCCTGGGTTCCAGCCCCAGCACCACAAAATACATAAGCAATAAACAAAATTTTAAAACTTTATGAGAAAGCTGGGTGTGGTATTGCATGCCTGTAATCCTAGCAGTCTGGGGGGCTGAGGCAGAAGGATCCCAAATTTGACCAGCCTGGGCAACTTAGCAAGGTCTGGTCTCAAGATACAAAAATAAAAGAGCTGGAGATGTAGCTAGTGCAAAGGCCCTGGGTTCAATCTTCAATACTGGAGGTGGAGGGTGCTTTATAAGACATTCGGAGAATTTGAACACTGTCTCTAGATATTAGGTATTAAGGAAGTGTTGGATTTTTAGTTACTATGGTATTATTGTTAGGGTTGTGATTTATTTTGGTGATTATGTCACTGTGGCCATGTGTTACAAAGAAAGTCCTTTTGGGTTAGAGAGACATCCTGAAGCACTGGTGATGATGGCTCGGACTGACTTCGGCCTAAGTGGACAAAGTGGACAGGGTGTGGAACATGACGGCTGAGCTGCTAATTGCCGAAGCTGAGTGAATGGTATCCAGGGTTCATTATTCTTCTCTCCACCTTTGCACATATTTGAAATTTTCCACAATAAAATTAGGGACTAGGGGTGTAGCTCAGTGGTGTACCCCAGACACTGCAGCACCAGGGACTCAGGTGTATGCCCCAGTTTCTCATCACCACATACTCTGTGGCCTCTTCCTTATCACTTGCCCAGCATGCCTGAAATCGTAAAAAGTCAAAATAAAATAAAATGTTAAATCAGGCATGTCTATAATCCCGGTACTTGGAGCTGAGGCAGGAGGATGGCTGTGAGTTCCAGGCCACCCTGGGCTACATAGCAAGACCCTGCCTCAAAAGAAACAAAACGTAAAAGTAAAGCATAATAGAAAGTTGGTGTGGAGGACTCAGATTCTGAGTCCATGCTTCCCAAGGGCTCAGCTGTTCTGGGCTCTGCTAGATGCAGGCTGCATTGAATCCCACAAGACTAAAGCCCTCTGGCCGGGGATTTAGCTCAGTGGTTCTGCCTGCCTTGAAAGCTACAGGTCCCAAGTTCCATTCCCAGTACCAAAACAAACAAACAAACAAAAAGACTAAAGCCCTCTGATCACCCCTGGAGTTTGTTTACAAAGCAGATTCCAGGCCCCACTCCAGAGGCGCCAATTCTGCCAGTCTGGGCTGGGGCTTCTTTAGCAGAAACCCAGGGATTGTGGGGAAGGGTGAGGAGGGGTGCTGGGATCTCCCGGGGCGGGGCCTCTCTGAGATGGCGCTGGGGATGGGGGACGAGGCCACCTTGGCGGAAGGGGCCCTCTGGTCCACAGCCCAGTGGCTGCTCTGGGGACCCTGGGAAGGGCAGCTCTGGCCTGCAAGAGGACAGCAGGGGACATCATCGGCCTGGAGACACTGTCTCTTCCGAAATTAGGGCAAGGGACATGCTGGCCTTATGCCTTAACCTGTCCTCTCCTGCTCTGCTCGGGGACAAGAAAACGGGGAAGGAAACAGCGGGAAAACTGCTCCTTGCGCCTCAGGGCAGAACACGGGGCAGGGGTGCCCGAGCCCTCCTCCTGGGCCCTGTGGGTGGTGAGGGAGGACAGGGAACCTATACAGCCGCCTCCATCGGCTTCCTCCAGCTGCGCAGAGCCCACTTGGTCCTCTCAGAGAGCGGCAGGGAGGCCACAGCTGCTGGGGCTCCAATGGGCTCAGTGCACAGGCGCCAGCCTGGCCATGCCCGGCCTCTGAGGGCTCCAGCCTTTGAACTCCTCAGGCTCCAGCCGCTCCACGCCCTGCCTGGCAGAGTCAGGGCTGTGGAACAGAAGGAGAAGTGCTGCGACGGCAGGAACCCTGCTGTCACCTAGCTGTGTGTGAGACACACATAACATCCTTGCCCCAACCCCACTGAGCTCTGCGTGGTGAGCAGCAGAAACGTGCTGAGGAGTGTCTGACCGGAGAGAGCCAGCTGCTCACTGGGGCTGTGACGGAGGCGAGCAGAGGGCCAGAGGGGTGGGCACCAGAGGAGCTGGCAACCTGGCACAAGTTCAGGAGAGCGGAGTGGTGCCGTTGTGGTCGTGGGTGGGACAGGGGCCTGACTTCTCCCTCCCCCCAGGAGCCAGGCAGCCCGGAGCCTGCTTGGCTGGGATGAACCCTGACAGCCGCCCCTGGCCTTCCCCTTCCCAGGCAGGTGCTGCTGCTCACCCGCCTGCACCTGTGGGCTCCCGCCCTGGCCTGGCACCTGCCCTGGCAGGATGCACGCCAGCAAGGCTCTCCCAGGGCTGCGGGCTGCACCTCCGCCCCATCCCCGCCCAGAAGTCCTGCTCCTCTAACTCCCGTCTGGGTACCCGCAAGGCAGGGCTCTTCGTCATGCAGTTCCTGCCCCCTCCTGGTGCCATCTCTGCAGGGGACCCAACATGACCCTGCCGGCTGAGGGTCTGCGTGGAGCCCGGTGTCACAGGCCTGGGCCAGCACGGGGCATGGCGGTGGAAGCCCCGTCCCTCTGCAGAGGGGCAGACTCGGGGACCCCCTTTGCTCTCACCCTCCTTTGATGTAGTCAAGGAAGGTGCACTCGGACTCCACAGCGAAGGAGAGCAGGGTGACCTGGGGAGCAGAGGGGGTCGGTCAGCGGGGAGTAGGGGCTGGGCACGGTTTAGGCTCCAATGCTGCAGCCAGCACATGCCAAGCCCTCGGCCCACCATGCCACACGAAGCATGCGCGGCAGCCCCATGAAGAGCTGCGATTGTACCTCTCACAGCTGAGGAAAGTGAGGCTGCAGGGAGGCGACACAGGGCTCCAGGCCACAGCAGGGTGGGATGAACAGTGCCAAACTGCACCCCAGGGTCCCACCTGTCACTCAAATTCCCCAGGCCAAGGGCAGGGGAGCCCGAGACCCAGGGGTGGACATGGAGGGCCGCTGTCCACGATGCCAAGCCGCCTCCCACGTGTGCCAGTGAACCCTGCACACGCCTCTCAGATCTGTGCTTAACTCACACCTTCCCCATGCCCACCCTTCCCTCTGGTGCTACTCGGTCTCCGCCTGGGACCCCAGACCCCTGTAAGCAGCCTGTGCTTTCTCCAGAGCCCTCTCCTGGACAGAGGCCTCTTTGTTGCTCTCTGTCCCTTGGTGGCTTTGACATTAGCTTTGCCGAGACAGGAAGCCACTGCCATAAAGACTTCGGATCATGGAGCCAGAAAACCTGGCATCCAAGGCTGATTCAATGAGCAGACTGAGCAGACCTGGCTCCTGGGAAGGGCACCTGATCCTCCAGGAGCTGGGGCGCCCCCTGCTGGTGAAGATTCAGCTACTGTCACTGGCCCAGGGCCGGACAAAGCGAGCTGTTTCTTATCACTCACAGGCCTGGGTGAGGGGACAGTCTATGGGTGCTGAGCAGGGCCCAGGGACACCACCCATGATGACCACAGTGTGGGTGTCCAGAGGACCAAGAGAGCCCCCTCCCAGGTGCAGTGGCTCAGACTCAGGAATGGACGGTGGCAGTGACTTCAGCCCTGACTCACGCCGCCGGGAACAGCTGGCAGCCCAGGTGGGGCCACACCAGCCATCTCAGAGTTTGCAGTGGACAGCAGTTCCCGAGATCTTTACTCAGCTCCTCCTGTGAGCCTCACCTGCAGCCAGGGATGGGAGCCCTGCAGTGCCCGACTTGCCTGAGCACAGATGCTGCCCAAAGCGGGGCCAGGCCGGTCAGGGATGCAGAAATGCAGAAGCCGGGCATCTTTACCCGAGCCCATGGGGATTCACCAGGCGGCAAGGAAAGTAGGAAAAGCACTAAATGCAGATTCCAGGGACCCGGCCTGGCCTCTAAATCAGAGCCCCAGGGAACTGGCCCAGGCACCTGCATTTCACATCTGCTGGAGCAAAGGAGAACAGGCCCGCTCATCCCTACCTCATTGTGTGACCTTGGACAAACCACATCCCCTCTCCCGGCCGGGTTTCTTCGTCTCTAAAATCTGAGATCAGTGGGTTCTGAACTTTTGTATTTTCAGCTGTACACCGAGAGCTCCTGGCTGGAAAGGTACTGCCTTTCCCAGGCGCATTTAGGAAATAGGGGAGAACTTGGGGGTTCTCAGGAGACTGGGGGTGCACTGCAGTCTGAGGCAGAAGCCAGGGGTGCTAAACAGCCAGACAGACCAAGGGCTCTCCTGCTCCAGTGCGGACTGCACCCGACGAGCAGCTGTGGCCCAAGAAAAGAGGGGTCTGCACTGCACAGAGGCCGTGGTGCTATCGCCTGGGCGAGCAGGTACTTTACAGTTTAGAGGCCCACATCTCCCCATGCCTCCCACCACCACCCCATGCAGGAGCAAGGGAGGGGATTCATCAGCCTCATTTTCCAAACAGGGAAATGGCCGGGCAGTAATGCATAGATTGGAACTGCTGCCCAGCACCCAGTGTCGCAGTGAGACCACCCACAGGGCTTCCTGAAGGCCAGCAGGGGAAGAGGAGTCCTGAGAATGGACAGTGTTTCCCTGAGAGACAGGCAGACGTTAGCACATAACCAGGTTACAGACACAGGGAGAAAGCCAGGTGTGGTGGTCCACGCCTGTACTCCCAGGATTTGGGAGGCTGAGCCAGGAGGATCACTGTGAGTTTGTGAGTTTGAGGCCAGCCTGGGCTACATGGTGAGTTTAAAGCCACGGGCCAGAGATTTAGCTCAGTGGTTTTGCCACCTGCTGTGTAAGCGCAAGGACCCGAGTTCGATCCCTGGTACCAAAAAAAAAAAAAA